ATACATACATACATACATACATACATACATACATACATACATACATACATAATACATACATACATAAATACATACATACATACATACACACACAAACACAACAACGTCTCGACAATATGCGTATTCTTTCATTGTATCAGTGCTATAGCGCTGCACAGCAAAAACGTTTGTCATCAGTGATTCTGAAGACTGTGTCTGCGAATTACCAGAATTGGCACGGGGCTTTAAAGTGCTGAATCGATGGAGTCCTTATCGATCGTGTTAATCCAATGTTTTAAGCTGTCGTCATTGAACTAAGTAATTTTGCATTAATAGCTTTGCTCATAAGGAAAAGCACCCACCTGCATTTGTAATGAGATGGCTTCTCGATCGGAGAGCATCTCAGCCAGTGTTTTTGTTCCAAGAATATTCCTCAAAGTTGTTTGAGCCAATAATTTTGTGGACCTAAGAACAATGTCAAATGAGCGCGAATAACGAATTTGACTAGCAATGTGCAGAATATCTGCAGCCGGCTGTTGCGAAGAAACTGCAGGACAGTACGCCTGCGATTCATAACAATCACCTTAGTTTTAGAGCCTTACTCTGAAATGATAGTGACAGAATGGATTTAAGCGTGAAACTGCAGACCAACAAGATTAGGCTTGGGAACTTAGCTACCGGTACCGTACAGTCTATTAACGTGCGTACCCCTGGTTACTGTTGTTACCGGAATATTTACACACGCCATGCGATCCTGGATCAGAGTTGCTAGTTGTCGGCATGCATATTACTACTGATGCTGCTGTGAAAAATTCAAAGCCAAAAGTTGAAATTTCCTTTTTCCTTACTAAATGTGAAAAGTGGAGTCACTCGAGAAGCAACCTGAGGGTTAAAAAAACCTGGAAAAAAATAGTCGCCGATATCCGTGCTACCGTATATTGGCACGGCCGTCAATGCTACCGCTTTTCGAAGATTGTTAAAAACCTAACTGATGGAGAATGAAAATAGAAAACGTTGCAAGAACGAATTCAAAAATTCGTTCTTGCAGCATTGTCTTCTTATGTGCGCCAATGGATTTGCCGCAATTTCCAATAAACAAAAATTAACGCAAAATTGAGTGGGAAAGGTCTAATACCTTGCAGCATCCTCAACATTGGTAACAGATATGGTAGCATTTGATATGCGAAAATAAACTACGGCGTCAACAGCTACCGTTACCGAATCTTTGGAAAGAATCTGCAATAGAATTTCCGAAGAGAACAAAACGAAATTGAAAAAAATCGAGGATGTGGATATTTTCCTTTGACAAGCGTGTAAATAAAGTTACAATCTGTTATAGGCTGCGGTAATTGTGCTGTTTGTTACAGCTTTCTGCGGTCTGCACCTTCGGCAAAAGTTCGAAAGAATGGAATGCAAGCCTAAATAGTTTGTAGAAGCACCAACATTCATATTGGTAATAAAAAGTCTAGAAATTGTGACAATCACCAGTGATTACTTTTATAACTATCACATCAATGTAAGCGAAGGATAGTATCCAAACCACTCTTTAAAAAAAGTTGCTGGCTTTTTTCTAGGGCCTAGCAGGAGTTCAAATGTTGAAAATCGCGATTATGCCGTTGAAAAAGAAACACATTTGCTCACTTCTTGGGGAGGCACTTCGAACGAAATAACACGCAAATCAACTTTACGATATGTATCTATGCATGGAACTATAAAAAATATGCCTGAAATCAGGTTTTATTAGTTCCTGAAATAGCAATGAGCCCCATTTTTTTAGGACTTTTCAATCAGGCGGAACTAAGGAGCATTAATGTTGCTTTCTTCAGTGTTGATAAATCAGCAAAATAAACATGAGTAGGAAGAAGAAACGATTATCTCTCAAGAGCAGGATGAAAAATTTAAAATATTCTCTTAAGGAGCAGGATGAAAAATCTGAAATCGACTAAAATTAGACAAACAGTAAAAATGCGAAAATGAGTCAAATACGCGAAATTTGCGAACTCTAAGACACCACACGAAAGAATCATCATCCTGTCTACAACTGATCTTTACCAGAAATGCAGTTCTGACCAAAAAGTAAAGTAAGGCCAAGTGCAAATAAAATTGAAGTCCAAGACGCATTATCGCTTAAGGACTCATTTACTGCCATCAGATTAGAAATTTCCTTTCTGCTAAAATGCAAAAGATAAGAACGAACCAGGTCCTTTCGCACCGCCCGGCATTAAACGACCTAAGCGAAATATCACGGCTCTTTCGTACTCCTGTACAACCTAAAACAACTGGCATTCTTAATCGGGAATTTTAAAGACCTCAAGAGAAAGGAATATGCCTTTTTAAAAAAATAACGTATATTAGGAGTTACAACTAACACGCACTTTTTTATCGCATATGGTAAAAATAAGAAACTTCTAAATATTAATAAAATTCGGCGAGCCTTCTAATTAGCCCTTGTCCTTTCCTTCGTTCATCAAACAAGAAATCATTAAAAATTATACATATTTTCTACATGTCAACAACTGACTCAGTATTTCCATATCTGCAGATTTTATTGCCTCTAAGAAACACTCTTCCATATGCTTTCATTACTCACTAATGACACGGTATGAGCTGTAGCCCTTGAGGCAAAATAAAATAGAGAAATTAAAAATTGATTTAGTAGCTTATCTTGATGCACATACATACGGAGATCGGTAGCGTGAAAAATATTAGTATGTATGATAATATCGTTAAAATCCAGCCACATATGCCAAATTCGTTTTGTATGTTTGCTAAAACTGGCAAAAAATAAAAATTGTCAAAAAAATTCATATAATTATCTGTGATTTAATTTACCGAAAAGTTGACCTTTGGAAAAAAGTAACGGAAATATTTGTGTGGTAAAATTTATGAAAAGTATTACTAAAACTTACCGAAAAGCTTGGCTAACACAACCTGATAGTTTGACCTTTAACAGCTTTTCACAAAATGAAGTGGTTTTGCCAGGCTTGTTAGCCTTGAATGCATTTTGTAAAACTTTTTTTGGACCGAAAATCATGAGTTAAAATGACTGAGCACTTCAACACTATTAGAGTTGCGGTTGTGTTTAGAAGCAAAAATTTCTGTTTTTAGGACACACAACCAGGAAAAATTGTCTTCTTTAAATCAAAGCTGTAAACGATTACAAACAACTAAGGCCCCTTTCTCATACTGCCGAATGGCCAGAGCTTGGGAGCTTCCTGACGAACAGCAGTAACGTCAGTGCATCACATTGAATGTCCAGTGGCTTGGTAATCTTGGTAAAGCAGCCTCTCAAATGATTTTATTTAATGAAGCAACTTCTGCACTAGAGTAAACGTACTAAAACGCAGAAAAATGTCAAGTGACAGGACTGCGCGAATATCTCTTGCATCCCGTCCCCGTCCTGAACTTCAGTGTCTTTCTTTTTGCTTCCTTCTTTCACCTACCCATTGTTTAAGCTACAAAACTTCAGAATATTGTACATAAGATTGCTCTTCTGAGTGCTTGAATTCCACTTCTCCAACCACCCTTCCTATCTTCCCAGTTTATTGGAAAAAACAGCATTTGCTTCTCAAGCTTTCCACGCGATTCTGGAGGTCCCGAGGCAAATGCAACGGATAATTTCTTTAGTATTATCCACTGAAATAACATGTACTAGGCAGTTTCTTTTGAGAAAGATAATTTCTTCAATTATTAAGTACTTTGCATTAGACATGGCCCAAGAGTTCGAAAACAATTCTTCCTCTCTCTGACAGTGCAGCTGAATACCCTTTGTGCATTAAGCAGTGATAAACGTAGTGCATCGCAGATAGCAAAATCAGCAAACTTATTTTTCCGATAGTTAACCGTATTTTTTTTTAGAAAGGCAAATGCCATTACGGAGGAGAAAACTGAGGAATTTGAAAAATTAAATGCATCACTCGTCTGTTGTTCACTTGAGGGTTAGGTGCGACTGGAACATAAATATGCTTCACTTGGGATTAATTAATCCACTACACTTCACTAATGAAGAAATCGAATCCCCGGCGACAGCGTAGAGTTGTTTTTGTGGTTGTATCGTGCTCAGAGGTTTGAGTCTAATCCATCAACTTGCAGTACGTGAAGACAAAAAATGTTCTATCAATGGATGTTTTGTTAAAATGCAGTAATTGCTATCAGAAATATAGTATGAGTGAGTAGTTTTGTTTAGTATGAATGAGGAATGAAAGCTATTGCTGAAAAACCCCTCTGTGCTGGAGAATTTTCAGATATCATACTAGTAGGATGCAAATTTCTAAGAAGCGAAATCCGAGATATCTGCGCAAGAAAGCTGCTTCATAATATTAATTTTAATTCTCTGAAGATTCGGAAGCGCATGTAAGTATGCGATGGATTTGCAATAAGTTACAAAGCAAATTGAATTTGCAATGTTGTTCAATGAAGCGCAAACTTCTACATATCCGATGGTAGCTCTTATAAGAATTAAACTATAGTCCCCGTGTAATTATATTCTGCTTCTAAGAAATTTGGATGATTGTTAAGGAGACTTCGCAAAATAACTTATAAAGGAATAAAAAAGAGTTGGCTCAAAACAAATAAAAGAGTTGGCTCAAAACAAATTTTCGAAGCCAGACAAGCCTTTTGTTAGTGCTAGATTTCAGTTTTTATCCAGGATTCAGTATTAGTTAGATAAGCCTAGTACCGGGGAAATACGAAGCACGAGGAAGTCGAAGGACATTCATCATAATTAAGAAATTCTCTTATATTCGTACATAAAGGAAAAAGAAATTTCAGCGATACTAAACCACCAGACTGATGATTTTTTCCTTGTCAGTTTAAGATTTCAATATTAGAACATCCAAATATGCCAGTTTCTCGTGCAACAGTGGCCGTTGCATTTTAATAGAGCTTCACTGGATGAGACAATTCTAAGTTGTGGCATGGCTTGAAAATTATTATTCCAGTAATCTGAGAAAAAGCGGTCCATCAAAAACAGAAAATTATAATATATTTAAGAAATATTCAAAGAAAAAGTAAAAAAATACAATTTTTTGTCTTCATAAAGCCGTTGTTGTTAAGATCATGCTAGAATGAATGATAGTCCGAGAAAGGCTTTTTCAGACGAAATAGAAAACTTTGAAAGAAGTCGAGTGAGCTTACGATCAGTTTCATTCTGAGCATCATTCTCTTGCCTGCCTTTACTTTCTGCTCCATCGGTAGTTTCCGCTGCTGACTGATTTTTTAAGCGCTTGGATGCGGACTGCTGCCTCTTCGTTCCAGCAGCTGATGGACTTTTTGGAAGCTGAACAAGGCATAGAAAAAAAAACGGAACTAATCTCTAAGTGCTCTGCAAAAAATATTCAAAAAAAAGATACTTGAAGAGATCTGCAAATGATTCATTTTTATAAGTCGAAAAGAAACCAGTTGGTCAAGTTTGTAGATGTACTTGTGCTTTCCTAGCTAAATTTTGCACTTTTTTGGACAGCTGTACTAAGCAAGGATTTTCTACGCCGGTTACAGATTTCCTCATTTGGATAATTTAGGTGACCGCATTCTTCCTATTTAGGCTTAATTCAAATAAATCATGACAGCCCTTTCCAATTGCTGTTTAAGCTGTTGCCTTTGGAACTAGCCGAATGACAGTACAGTGTTGTTCGCTAGCAAGACTGCCGATGGTTTCTTTTTGAGAGTTGCTTAGAAGCAAGCTGATGACGCAGTACTAAATTACCTTTGAAACACTGACTGTAGCTGAATTTAAATTTTCTGCGTCACGTTTAGACAAAAAAGACTTTTTCGCCTGCAGACGGCAGCCCCTTTTTGAAAGTAGCTGTGAACTGAGATGGATCAAACCGCTCTTCACATCCAGAAGCTATGAGCTAGATCACTGAACCGCTGACCGCCTGCTGGAGCACTTATATTCTTTATGTACGGCAATCTCATATACACTCTGTATCAACTGATTGTTGTACTTGTGCAGCACAACCTTTTTAAGGATTACCGGATTTTCACTACTTCCGCTACACCCCC